TATGATGCATGTGCGAGTGGACACGAAAGAACCCTAACGGGTCGGGTCGGCGGGACGGGTCGGGTCGGGCGGACCCTAACCAGCGGATTGGGTCGGGTCGGGCCAGATCCTAACGGGCGGGTCGGGGCAGGTCGGCGAGACACTATAGTATGATGCGTGTGCGAATGGACACGCGAGAACCCTCACGGGCCCGGTCGGGACGGGACGGGTCGGGTCGGGCGGACCCTAACGTCGGGTCGTGCGGGGTTGGACCCTAACGGGCGGGTCGGGGCGGGCGGGCGGGACATTAAAATATGATGCATGTGCGAGTGGACACGCGAGAACACTAACGGGTCGGGTCGGGACGGGACATCAAAATATGACGCATGCGCGGGTGGACACGCGAGAACCCTCACGGGCCGGGTCGGGACGGGACGGGTCGGGCGGACCCTGACGGGCGGGTCGGGTCGTGTCGGGTCGGACCCTAAGGGGCGGGTCGGGTCGAGAGGGCGGGACATAAAAGTATGATGCATGTGCGAATGGACACGTGACGGATCGTGTCGGGTCGAGCCGGACCCTCACGGCCGTGTCGGGGCGTGTCGGCGTGACGTTAAAGTATGATGCATGTGCGAATGGACACGCGAGAACCCTAGCGGGTCGTGTCGGGACGGGTCGGGCGGACCCTAACGGGCGGGTCGGGCTGGGTCGCGTTGGACCCTGACGGGCGGCTCGAGTCGGGCGAGCGGGACATTAAAGTATGATGCATTCGCGAATGGACACGCGAGAACTCTAGAGGTCGGGTCGGAACGGGGCGGGTAGGGTCGGGCGCGCCCTAACGGGCGGGTCGGGTCGGGTCGAGCAGACCCTAACGGGCGGGTCGGGTCGGGTCGGAAGGACCCTAAAGGGTGGGTCGGGTCGGGCGGGCGGCCTGGGGGCCTAGGGTGTGCCTGAGGGAACGGCCTAGGAGTAGACCTAGCTTAGCCTAGAGGGAAGGCCTAGGGGTAGGCCTAGGGTAGCCACAGGGGGTCGGCCTAGGCGTAGTCCTAGGGTAGGCCTAGGGGGAAGGCCTAGGCGTAGCCTAGGGTAGGCCTAGGGGAAGGCCTAGGGTAGGCCTAGGGGTAGGCCTAGGGTAGGCCTAGGGGGTAGGCCTAGGGGTGGGCCTAGGGTAGGCCTAGGGTAGGCCTAGGGGGTAGGCCGAGCGGGACATTAAAATATCATGCATTCGCGAATGGACAGGAGAGAACTCGAACGGGTCGGGTCGGAACGGGGCGGGTCGGGCAGACCCAAACGGGCGGGTCGGGTCGGGTCGGACCCTCACGGGCGGGTCGGGCCAGGTCGGAGGGACATCAAAGCATCATGCATCAACGAAGCGACACGCGAGAACCCTAACGGATCAGGTCGGGGCGGGACGGGTCGGGTCGGGCGGACCCTCACGGGCGGGTCGGGTCGGGTCAGGCGGACCCTAACGGGCGGGTCGGGTCGGGCCGGGTCGGGCCCTAACGGGCGGGTCGGGTTGAGCGGGCGGGTTCCCGGAACCTTCCACAAAACCTTCCAAAACCGCCGTCACGAAGAATCCTTGATTCTTCGTGAGGAAGGTTTTTAGGAGGTTATACCGGGGGGAGGGGGGCGAGCAAGGTTTTTTGTTATAAGGTTGTTTTCCAAACACCTGCTAAAACCTGCAAGCAAACCTTCCAAAAACCTTCCAAACACCTTCCAAACAACCTTCCAAACAACCTTCCAACATTCAGCGAAACCGCCCAATACATTCCAAACACCTGCCAAACACCTTCCAAACAACCTTCCAACAACCTTCCAACAACCTTCCAAACAACCTTCTAACATACCGTCCAAACATATTCCAAACAACCTTGCAAATACCTTTCGAAACAACTTCCAACACCTTTCCAAAAACCTTCCAAAACACCTTCCAGGCACCTTCGTCGCGAAGAACTTAGGAGGGGTTGGCCAAACAACCATCCAAAAAACATTCGCGACGAAATAGTCTGGACGGTTTTTTGGAAGGTCCCGGGAATCGAAGGTTTTTGAAGGTTTGGAAGGTTCCAGGTATCCTGGATTCTTCGTGACGAGGGTTTTTGGAAGGTCTCTTTGTGATAAGTTTTTTTTTCAGAAAAATTTACATCTCACCTTCCAAAAACCTTCAGAAACCTTCCAAAACAACCTTCCCCCAAAAAAACGTCCAACAATCTTCCAAAACAACCATCCGGCAAAAACCTTCCCAAAACCTTCCAAAAACCTTTCAGACAACCTTCCAACAACCTTCCGAACACCTTCCAAAAAACCTTCCAGAAACCCTCGTCACGAAGAATCCAAAAGGGGTTGGCCAACAAAAACTTCCAACAACCTTCATGACGAAGGTTTTTGGATGGCTTTTTGGAAGGCTCCAGGAATCTTGGATTCTTCGTGACGATGGTTTTTGGAAGGTTATTTTTTGGAAGGTTCCAGGAATCCTGGATTCTTCGTGACGAGGGTTTTGGGACGGTTCTTTGCCCGCAAACCTTCCAAACACCTTCCAAACACCTTCAACAAAAACGTTCAAGAAACCTTCCAACAACGTCCCACAAAACCTTACAACATTTAGCGAGACCGCCCAATACATTTCAAAAGCCTTCCAGAAACCTTCCAAAACAACTTCCAAACAAACCTTCCAACAACCTTCCAAAACAACCTTCCAAAAACCTGCCAAAAACCTTCCAACAACCTTCCAAACACCGTCCAAAAAAACCTTCCAAACAAAACATTCCAAACAACCTTCCAAAAACCCTCGTCACGAAGAACCCAGGATTCCTGGAACCTTCCAAACAACCTTCCAAAAACCCTCGTCACGAAGAATCCAGGAGGAGTTGGCCGAACTGCCGCACCCAACTGCTATAGTGATATCGATAATGACATCTATAGTGAGATCGATCGAGTGTGATCGATCCTGTGAGGTCGATAGTGGGATCGATCAAGCGTCGTCACGCGTCGTCGCTAACTCGAGGGAGCGTCACCAACATCGTCATCATCACACCCATCGCATTTGCCAGCAGTTGGTTCTTTCCCGCCCGCCTCCCAACCTCCTTATCACCCGAAGGGTGGTCGCATAGGTATTTGCACCGAATACGAAACGATATTGTATACACCACAGAGAGAGAGGGAGAGAGGGAGAGCCTGACAGACGAGCGCCAGAGCAGGCCACGGTGATCCGCGTGGCGGTGGGGCATGCACGCCATAATCACCCGCAGTGGTGCCGCTGGGAGGGCGGCGCCGGTGGACCTTTCCATCTTCGTTGCGAGGAGCAGGAAGGCCAGTGCTGCCCTTGATGCGGAGCACAGCGAAGGACGGCGTTACTTGTCCCTGAAGGTTCGAATGGAGCCGCAACAGGATCCTGAGTTTCGTAATGATGCCAGTGCTGCTGTAGCCACACTATACGAAGCTCTACCGAGCCTACCAGATGGATGATTTTGACAGGCTTGCAAGAGCACATGCATCAGAGTGCGGGGGCCGAACGGTCATTCACTGTCCCTGGGTGCGTCTGAAAAGGGATTCCGCGATGCTGACTATTGTTGTTGTTTGTTGTCGCTGTTTGGCGTCGTCCCCCCCCGCGACCCCCCCCCCCACCCACGACCCGCCCGCGACCCGCCCGCGACCCGCCCACGACCCACCCGGCGACCCCCCCACACGACCCCCCCGCGACCCGCCCGCGACCCGCCCGCGACCCGCCCGCGACCCACCTGCGATCCACCCGCGACCCACCCGCGACCCCGCCCGCGACCCGGCCCGCGACCCACCCGCGACCCACCCCGCGACCCACCCCGCGACCCACCCACATAGCTTTGAAGAAAAAATCGGCGCCTGCGGCGGGCCCGTTGCAGACGTCCCCACCGCCCCCTCACTCTTCTCCGCAACTGCGGGATGCTACGTTCACTCACTCATTCCGGAGAGGAGGAGCCCCCCCCAAGGTTGCCTCCTCCCGCAGCCGCGCGTGCACCGCCGCGCTCATCGCGCGCGCGCGCCTGCGAAGACCCCGCGGAGCGCTGGCCGCCCGCTTGCCGCCCTCCGGCCCCCCCCCCGCGCTCGAGGGCCCCGGTGCCTCCGGAGCCAGCGCGCGTCCTGCCCACAGTCGGCGGGGAGGAAGGAGGAGGAGGAGGAGGAGGAGGAGGAGGAGGAGGAGGGGGAGGAGGAGGAGGAGGGCAGGCAAGGCTCGACCAAGGCAGTGCTCTTCGTTTTCGTTTTGTCTTCGTTCTCCCTCGTGTTGTCTCCAGTCCGCCTTTGCCTCTGCGGCACAACGAAGTCGAAGCGAAGGCGGCCCACGGAATCGCCAAAAGGCGGCCGCCAGGGGGGGGGGGGGGGCGGGAGGGAACGAAGCGCGGAGTTCAGGCGGCAGCTCCTGGGGGGCCTTCGGCAGGAGCCAGGAGCCACGAAGGAGGCTCGGCGGGGCGGGACCGGCCTGGACTGAGCCCGATCGGTACCAAGGAAGTGCCGAGCCCGATGAGCTCATGCAACCCCCCAGAAGGTGCAGTCCAGCATGACGCGGGCTGGGGCGGGGGGCGGGAGAGAGGAAAGAGGAGGAGGAGGAGGTGGAGGAGGAGGAGGAGAAGGAGGAGGTGGAGGAGGAGGAGGAGGAGGAGGAGGGGGAGCAGGAGAAGGGAGCGGGACTCAGGGGCACAGGGCAGGGCACTGGATGGCGCGGGGAGTGGGGGCGCAAGAGGGGGACCAGGACTCGCGCGGCGCAGGCCAGAAACGCAGGCGGGGAAGCTGGAAAATTCGACTCGGCGGATCGCGGGGTTGGTGCTGCAGCCGTGGTGAGGTCTGGGCCTGTCCTCGTGCTCAAACGTCCATCCCAAGACAACCTCGACTTTCCCCATCAAGCTGCTCCTCCCGGGTCCAGGGGCAGCCTTTCTCGTCCAGCGCACGTGCTACTCTTGTCGCCTGCGAGTGGTGGCGGAGGGAGATGGCGAGAGTGGGGAGAGAGGAGGAGAGGACGCACAAAACGAGAGGGGTGCAGGGGTCTACACTCCGCATCACTCCGCCGTCGTCTCGTTCACCTCGACCTTCAGCCTGTGGACGAAGTATGAAGACGTGGCGCGCTCCTCCAGGTCGTCTCTGCTGTCCTCGACGCCTCCGACCTTCGCCAACTCTTCCGCGCTGTGTCCCCAGGGGGCCGCAGGCGTCCACGTGGCATCAACCAGCCCAGCCCGCATCCTGCGCTTTGCCGCGTGCACCGTGCCAGTCTTGGCCTTGCTGACCTTCCTCTCCTGCGACGTCTGCTGCTCCGCAGCCATGTCCACGCTCTGCAGCGCAACTGCGGAGGCGAGCCACGGCAGCCCCGCGAACTCGAGGAAGACAAAGAAGACCAGTCGGCGCATCATCGCGACTAGGGGCCCAGACAACCGGCGGCTCGATCCTACGAGACACAGGGAGTTTCACGAAGGGCCTCGCCCTCGGCGCCTCCTCGCCCTCGGCGGATGGCGGCGGAACGCCCGCGGAAGTAAGACGGCGGCGGGTCCGCCAGCAGAAGCCGGCCCCAAACGGCGGAAGTGAAAACGATACGTCAACATGTTTGGGTCCGGGGCTTCCGCAGTCGACCAGATGGCCCCCCAGAACCTCTGGACCCCTTCCCGTGGGCCGTCTGTTCATCATGAAGCGTTTTTGGGCCCCTGGGCCCAACACCGCCCCCAAGAGGCCTGAAACCAAGAAAGACTCGATGTATTTTGGCTGCCGGATGTCTGGGGAGAAGGTCTTGGTGCCCTGGTAGCGTGGAATAGGATACGTGCAGTATGCGAGCGGACAGTGCCGAAGACTGCGGGACCTCGGCTTGAGTGAACACGGCTGGCGGCGGAGGAGTGAGGAGGAGGGCGACAAAGCAAAGTCACTTTTCCGAAACAGGTATCACAGATGAAGGGTCCTGGAAGAGGCAGATTCTTGGCCCCGAGGCTTTCTCTCCAGAGCCGATACTCCCCAAACAGTGCTTGCACTCAGAAATTCGTACTTCTCTCCCTCAGGAATTTGTTAACTCAGCCGGAGGGCCAATCGAGGTGTCGCATGGTGCGCGCCCGTGGGAGGTTCCGCCTGGCGCCCGCCCGTGAGCGCCTCGTGAGCGCCTCGTGCGTTGGGCGGCCGCATAGCTTGCACCACATAGCTGGTACCGCACAACTTTTACCGCACAGCTTGCACCACATGGCTTACTCCACCTACATGGCACCGCATTGCTTACACCACACAGCTTGCACCGCATAGCTTACACCTACACGGCATAGCTTACACCGCATAGGTTGCACCACATTATCTCTCACCACATAGGTCACGCCGCACAGCTTGCACCATACAGGCTGCACCACATAACTGACCCATCCCCCTCGGCACCCTTGACTTTTCATGGAGAAGGCCAAGCGTCCTTCTTTCAGCTCCCACGTGCCGCGCCGCTCGTGCGCTGCCCTGCGCCACGGCCTCTGCAGTGGTGGCCCGCGTGCCGCCCGTGTGCGGCCCGCGCGGGTGCGCAAGCTCTCAGGCAGCGCAAGCTCTCACCGCTGCGGAGGGTACCGGACTTTCCCGTGGGCTAGGTACACGCAGGAGGTGTCGCTGGGCAAAAGTGACCTCTGGTGCGCGGCTTCAAGGGGCCGCGGGAGGGGGGGGGAGGCAAATGAAAGTGCCCAAGCCCCACGCCAGTGCTGGGGATACCTCCGTGGGCCCGCACCAGAGATCACTCTGGCGGAGGGTCACCTTTGTGCGTAGACGATCCTGAACGGCCAACAGCAGCCCACAGTGGTGGTTGTGCGGCGCCGTAGGGGTGGGGCGGGGCGCGCGCGTCCAGGCGGTACAGGTTCTCGCTGCTGCAGAAAGTGCCAACCTCTGCCTGGCAAGGCGCAGCCAGCGCCGGGGCCAAGCCCCCGAGCGCGCCTCCTTCTCCCTCGATGTCCGTGGGCTCCGACCCGGGCCTCGCAGCAACAGCGCGGGGAAAGACAGTCGCCGACGGCCAGAGACAGCGGCCCAGCTCTGGCGCGGCCAACTCGGGGATGCTCTGGTTCCCCGCCGCCGCCAGCGCTGGAGTTCCTCCACGTTTTCGTTGTATACCCCCCCCCCGCCCCAGGAAGATTCCACCCCCGCGAGGGATTTGTGCAGACCAAAACCACGACCCACGACCAGGACCCCCTCCCCAAGGGCTTGTGGGCATGGTGTAAAAGCTTTCCCTGCGGACGACTCGACGGCTGGCCCGCTCCAGGTCGTGGGGCACGGGGAGGTCGACCGCGTGCGCGCCAGCGCAGCAGGGGCTGCGCCGCCGTCCCGGAGCGGGGCAGGCCCGCCAGCGCTGCCTCCTCCGTGGCGAGGGCGTGCCGGGACGCCCCACCCTCGCTCCCCCCCCAGTGCACGGTTCCCCCGGGGCCGTCGGCGACCCGAGAAGGAGGGGGGAGGAGGAGGAGGAGGAGGAGGTGGAGGATGGGGAGGGGCACGAGGAGATGGACGAAGAGGAGGAGGAGGAGGAGGAGGAGGAGGAGGAGGAGGAGGAGGAGGAGGAGGAGGAGGAGGAGGAGGAGGAGGAGGAGGAGGACGGGTCGCATAAGCCCTTCGGCGAAACCCTCTACCCCCCAGCTGAATTAGAGGCCCCCAGATGGGGTCCGAATATAGATGGGGTCGGAGGATCGCGCCGCATCGCAGGTGTATCGACGATGCACCAGCGATGCCCCGACGGCGTCGGCGATGCATCGGCGACGTCGACGTGGCGAGAATCGGGCTCCACATTTAGCTGCATCGCCGATGCATCGACGATGTGGCGTGATGCGCCGACCCCATCTACTCGGACACCACTTGGGAGGCCTGCACTCGCCCCCCCACGAATGCAGGCACGACAGGCTCGTGCCGGGACGACTGGCGCGATGGCTTCTGACACCGCGTGGGTCGTTCAACCTTGAACTATCGGCGGCTTTCCGATGGGGCAAATTGTTCACTGGCCATCGCTCGGACGTCCATTCCCTGTGTTTTTTTCGGTTTCGTGCGTGGTTTTTTCGCCAAATGATCAAGGATGCTCCTCGATAGTCCTCGCCGAAGGAAAAATGCACACGTCCGAGCGATGCCAAGCTCAATGACGGCCGTTTCTGGGCCACCGGCGGCGTTCTCCCTGGAGCGGCCGGGCTAAGGTCGCCCCCGCGTCGACGAGACACGAACCGACCGTCTCCCTCCCCCCCGTCCTCGGGGGCGGGGCCTGACAGGGAGTTGCTCGGGGAGTACGCAGTGCAGCGACAGCTTTTGCACCCCCACCATGGACAGCCAACCAAGCGAAAACACTTGGGGAAAGGGGGGGGAAGGAGCTGGGGGGGCGTCGGAACGGGAGGGGGCCCCTCCATGTTACTCCCTGGGCGAAGCGGACAAAGCGAACAGGGTCCTGAGCGAAGGACCCTGGGCGAAGAAGACCGCGGGAGAAGAGGACCCCGCAGGCGAAGAGGATCCCAGGCGGAGAGGACCCCAGGCGAAAAAACAAGATGCCGAGCTATGTCCATATAAGGGGTATCATTCTGGATCGGCAAAGTTTCTGGATGATCACACGGATGGTCTTTCGTAGTATGAACTATCGGTGTCATATCCAATCTCGGGGAACTCGGGGAGGTAGGCCTTCCTGCCATGTTCGTTGGGTGTTTCTGCTCAGAGACAAACGTGCAATTATGTATGTGTACAAGCCAGCCGACAGGAAAAGGCCTGCCGCGCGCGCTTTTTACCTCTACGCAGACAGCTGCGTAAAATGTACACGCCAATGAATGCCAACCGTGCGAACGGCATAGTTAGCACAAGCAGTAACCAGGGGCGAGGGGAGCGTTGGTAATAACTTCCCCGCGGCCGTCTGGGAACAGAAACGCCGCGCAACGATGGACGCTAACCATAACCGTGAAAGGTCTTGAGAACCCCCCCCAACAGTGGAGATGGAGGGTTTTTTCAAACGAACACCCTCCAGGATCCAAAACATCCTGGATGGTTTGTTTTGAACGACCCCCCCCTTCCAGGACCCCAAAAACCCATTCTGGATAGATTTTCGTTGGACGAGTTCCCCCTCCAGGATCCACAACGCCCCGCCCTTTCTGGAAGGGTTTTTCAGGACGAGTTCGTCCCACTACCACACCCAACTGCCGAACCTAGTTCGCGCTGGCCGCGTGGGTCGAATGCCGCTGGCTGATCAGATTCTGTACCTGCGTCAGCACACCCCGACGACGGTCCAGAATCATGGACCCTGGAACTGTCGCGCAGGTGCTGCTCGGTCGCTGCGTCTTTAGCCAAGCGGGGTGTCGATTTGACTGGCACCTCGGCTTCCGATAATATGGAGATCACGCTATCGGAGGAGTCGAGCTAATCACGTAGGCCTGGTTGACAGAGAATGGTAGCGGTGCACTCGATGGGGTACTGTTTCCATACGATAATTCGTCTGCCTGCGCGGTAGTGTCGGCCGCCCGTTGTGTCCCTGCGGCCGCCATCTCCGCCCGATATTGAACTGTCCATTCGTGCTGAATCCTGCTTGCTGAGATTCCGTGGAGGACCCGGGGCGGAATCGCCAACATAGTCAGCGGGAACTGTCTCGAGGATCATTTCATCAATTTCTTTTATGCCAAGATTTCCGGGCTCGGAAGAAGAACGGGCCCATAATTTTCTTCCACCATGAGTTTGTATTTCTCCGGGTCCGTTTCCATTTCCTCTTTATTTGGCCCCGCAAGCCCCGAAATTCGTGACTTAGTCCCGAAATCTCGCGGTGAATGCTTCGGATGATCGTCAGCAATTTGCCTAGTTATGTCCATCTAGGGGATTCCCTTCTTGAGATCTTGAGAGGCAATTGTTTGGGCTGATCACCTTGGATGGTCTTTCGGGGAACTCGGGGAGTAGGCCTTCCCGCCATGGTTTCGGGGTGTATCCGTTCATCGACGCACGTGCACAGATGTATGTGTAAAAGCCGGCCGAAGGGAGAACGGCCGCGCGATGTTGTACCTGTACGCAGACAGCTGCGTAAAGCGTGCATGTCACTGGATGCCAACTATGCGAACATCACGGCTGGCACAAACAATGAGAAGGGGCGATGAAACGTGAAACGTTGGTAATAACTGAAAAAGAAAGGACCCCGAGCGAAGTGGACTCGGGCGAAACCGACTCCAGGCGAGGGGGACCGGGCGAATAAAATCTTCCACCCCCAGAACACTCCCTCTCGCTGTCCCTCACCACTCTTCTCCACCAATATCTCCCTTCACCCCGTTCACTCTTCCCCCCCTCTCCACAATTTGTCTGTCCCCTCGCCACCGCTGGCGCAACGGTTCTCCACCAAAATTAGATGATGAAGACTTGACCCTGGCAGCCAGCTCATGCTCCTAAGTCACCTATCTTTGCACATTGCGCCGCGCCGCCCTGGCCCAGGCCGCGACGCGCGAAACACGATTATATTTGCGCCCCCGCGGCTAACCTAGATACTCCCGCACCATCCCACGTTTGGGAAAACAAAAAACAGAAACTCAGGGACCCCTCCCTCAGAAACTCCTCATTCCTCCTCCTCTTCCTCCTCTCTCTGGAAGGCAGGATCGGTAAGCATCGAATCGGGAAGTCGGATTGGATCGGATTGTGCGATGGGCCGGGCTGAATCGCACACGGAGCCCAGCTTGCCACCGACCGAAACCACCGAAAACTGCCAGACTACTGCCAACCTCCTCCTCCTCCTCCTCCTCCTCCTCTTGGTTCTCGGGTGCTGGTGTTTCAAGTGTGCGCTTCTTGAAGGACGGCTTATCGAGACTTCCGAGGATGGCACTTGGGGCGGGATTGCGTATCGCACCATCGTTAGTGCACCTTTGGTTTACTCAGGTCGTCCTTCCCCCCCCTCCTCCCGCTGGAAAGTGGGCCGACTGGACATTGCCGCGATGACGGGAGTGGGGTTCCAAACACGCCCTGGGTCCTGCAGCCACGGCATGTCGATACTCCGCGCATCACCCGCCAATCCAGCTGCCCCGCCACCATCTTCCGGGCGGTCAGCGAACCTGACGGAGAGGGAGAGGGGGAAACAGAGAAAGAGAGAGAGAGAGAGAGGAATGAAGGACAGAGAGAGAGAGAGAGCACATAAGATACAGAAATGACCTTGTTAGCCAGCGTCGTCCCGAAGCAATGCGTTATTCACTGTGGAGGTGAAAGATCTGCGGTGTAAGCTATGTGGTGTAAGCTAAGCGGTGTGATCTGAGGAGGTGAACACCATGCGGTGCAAGCTGTGCCATGAAAGCTGGTGGTGTGAGCTGGAGGTGCAAACTAGGGGGTGCAAACTATGTGGTGCATGCTCTGCTGTGCAAGCCATGCGATGTAAGCTATGCGGTGGAAACTACGTCGTGTAAACGATGTCGCTCGTACTCCACAGGTCTTGTCGCTTCCGGGTGCGGCGCAGGCGAAAACCTCAGCCTTGGAAGTCGTAGTCCTTGCCCCTGGTAGTTTAGGGCCACCAGGATGCCCGCACGTCGTGTCAACAGTGTGGCGACAACACAGTCGTGTCAGCTCAGGGCACGGAGAGCCCACGATGCATGGTTTCCCCCGGGGCCGTAGGCGACCCGACGAGGAGGAGGAGGAGGAGGAGGAGGAGGAGGAGGAGGAGGAGGAGGAGGAGGAGGAGGAGGAGGAGGAGGAGAGGAGGAGGAGGGGAGGTGGAGGAGGAGGAGGAGGGGAGGAGGAGGAGGAGGAGGAGGAGGAGGGAGGAGGAGGAGGAGGAGGAGGAGGAGGAGGAGGAGGAGGAGAAGGGAGGAGGAAGGAGGAGGAGCAGGGAGGAGGACGGGTCGCCTGAGCCCTTCGGCGAAAGCCTCCGGCCCACGAGGAACCTGCGAGCGCAACCTCGGCAAGCCCCTCGAGCGCAGGGCGCGGCACGGGCGCGGCAACCTCGGGGCACCCTCCCGGCGCACGGGGCACCCACGAGCGGCACGCGTGGCAACGCGGCGCCACCTCGACGTATCGACGTATCCCCCAAGAGCGGGGGAGGGGCGCCCAGTGAGCGGCACGGGCCGCAGAGTGGCGACGGTCCTGAATACCAACGCGTTACCCTGAGGAGGGTGCATGAGAAACCCCAAGTGCAAGCACGGTCTGGGGAAAAAGGGAGATACGAGAGAGAGAGAGAGAAACAAGGAGAAAACGAGAAAGAGAGAGAGAGAGAGACAAGGAGAGAGAGAGAGAGAGGAACAAGGAGAGAGATATACGAGAGAGAGAGAGACGATAAGAGAGAGAGAGAGAGAGAGAGAGAGCGAGAGAGAGAAACCCAACTAGATGCGCTCGTGCCGTATCTGACATCCTTGACCCTCCCACCCATTCCTTCCCATTGCGCTGCGTCATATCTACATCTGCCGACGCGTGCCATAGTGCACCTGGAACTCCAAACGGGACCCTATAGTGATATGAGTAGCCGGACACGAAGACCTGCGCACATTGGAAGATTAAGGAGGATGGGGAAGGAGGGGGATGAGGACGAAGAGCATCAGCAGGAGCTGGAGTGGAAGAAATGGGATGAGCAGGTCCAGGGGAAGGCGGAGGAGGAGAAACGAGGGTGCCCGAACCGCCTTGCTCGCGTTCCGGATTCCAGGCGCGGCGGGCTCGCCACGGCGCTGCGGCGGCCCGCGGCGAAAGGCTCACAAACCCAGCATGTACCGGTTGAGCCCGTCGTGCACCTGGGGGCGAACAGCCGAACTGGAGTTGGAACCTGGATATACATCATAATAACCAAGATAATCGTAACTGCATCTTTCCAAGGCATCATAATATCATTACCCCAGTGCGACCCTACCTAGAAGTTGGAGCCCCTAGGAAAGCAGCATTCTTTGCTACGCTATGCTATGCTATGCTATGCCATGCTATGCTATGCTGCGCTATGCTATGCTATGCTATGCTATGCTGCGCTATGCTATGCTATGCTATGCTATGCTAAGCCTTTGTGGGTTCCGGAAACGGCAAGGCCGTTTTTTTTACTGTTTCCAAAAAGTGTCCCTTGAAAATGGAAACGGGAAAAAACGGCGACCGGAAACGGCAAAATAAACGGCTCCAGGACTGGAGCCGGAGCCGGAACCGGTCAAACAACGGCGACGGAGCCGGTAAAAAAACGGTGTCGGAACCGGCAAAAAAACGGCAAAACGGAACCGGTAACAAAACGGCCCTGTCGTTTCCAGGGCCCACTAAATGCTAAGCTATGCTATGTCATGCTGCGCTGTGCTATGATGCTATGCTATGCTTTGCTATGCTAAGCTGCGCTATGCTATGCTATGCTATGCTATGCTATGCTGCGCTATGCTATGATATGCTATGCAATGCTATGATTGGCTATGATATGCTATGCTATGCTATGCTATGCTATGCTAATGCAGCGCTGCGCGATGCTAAGCTAAGCTAACCCTCTAGGCAGAGCCTAGGTAGGGAATTACACCCATGCTAATATGCTATGCTGCGCTATGCCATGCTACGTTATGCAATGCTATGCTGTGCTCTGCTATGCTAAAGCTCAGGGAAGCTAAGATGAAGGTAAGCCAAGCTAACATACACCTGAGCTAAGATGAAGCTAAGCTAAGATGAAACAAGCTAAGTTAAGGTGATATAAACAACGCTAAGCTAGGGGACGTAACTGGGGGAACCGCGGGGCGGATGCCGGGGGAACCGCCCGGGGCGGGTTGCACTTCCCGGCCCCTTTAAGCTCAGAGCCCTTCTAGGCAGAGCCTAGGTAGGAACAAAGTGATCAGGATGTGGAAATTCACGAGCAGCAGAGATACTCCCAGTAAGATCCAGATCAAATCTTTAACAGGCATTTAATGGAAGGAAGCGATTAAAACAAACTTTTTGGGGCGGACGATTAAAACAATTGTTTCGCGGGCCTCCTCGCCCCCGCAATAGCGGGGGGGCAAGGCAGGCAGACGGGGGGCTGACAATTCCGGGTTGCCTGGAAGGCCAGGGGGGGGGGGCACGCCCTGCCACGCCGTGCTCTACAATGCATCGCGTACCCTTTCGGGATCATTGCCCTGCTCGACATCCAACTGTGCGAGTAGAGAGGGGATCTACGCCATGGTAAGGGATGGGAGGGAGGGGTAGGGGAGCGAGGCGAGCGCACCTCCTCCTCCCCCCTCCTCTTCCTCCTCCTCCTCATCCCCCACCTCCCAATCGCCGCGGCCGTCCGCAAGGACGACCGGCGGCCGTCCGCAAGGACGAGGGTGATCAAGCGCCTCTTCGAAAACCCCTTCCCTAAACATCCCGTCCCCCCTCCGCAATCCTCCCCCCGCGGCCGCGGGTGATCAAGCGAGCGAAGGAGAACGAATAGAGAATCAGTTCCCCCAACGGGGCAAAAGCAAACGCTGGGGGGCGGACGATTTGAAAAACAGTTTCCAGCGGCTGAATTCTATTATTGGTAGTCCCCAAACGTGGTGGTGACAACACCTGGCGGTGAGTCTCGGGTGATTTGGTGTCACCACCCGATTTGGGGACTCGTGCGGTTTTCCGAGGATGTCCTGGACACTGGTGGGTCCAGGAGTCACAAAACCCGGCGGTGACCCCGCGTCCCCAAACCCAGCGGTGACCTTTTTGGGGATTCCAGATCGCCACCTGGTATCTCACCACCCGGTGTGGGGGTTCCCAATATTAGTCCGCCCCACTCAATCATTTTGGAGGGTCCGGGGGGGGGGGGGGGAGGCAAAAAAAAATCGCTTCCTTTCATTAATGGCACAACTGGGCCAGCGCGGGACGTGTCCAAACAGGCGCTTGCCTGCAGGCGGGGCGGGGCCACGCGGCACCGCCTTCCTCTTCTGCGGTGCGCTCTTCCCGGCCTCCTGGCAAAAGCAGGAGCGACCTCCCCATACCTTCTGCTTCTCCCCCTCCTCGCGACTCCGCCCCCCTCCTTCTCCTCGTCGTCGTGGTCCTCCTCATCACAAGCGACGGCGACAACGTGGACGACATCCTCAAAAATGACGACATCGACGACGACGACGATAATGGCGACGACGGCGACGACGATAATGGCGACGATGGCGACGACCACGGCGATGACGGCGACGCTGGTGACAGCGGCGACGACGGCGACGACGCTGGCGACCGCGGCGATGGCGACGACGGCCAAGACGGACGGCGGCGACTGCATCGGCGACGAATCGGCGGCGGCGACGACGGCGACGACAGCGATGGGGACGTCGACAAGAACGGCAACGACGACGACGACGACGCCAACGCCGACGCCAGCGTCGACAGCGATGCTGGCGCCGACGACAGCGGTGATGACTGCGTAGACGGTGCCGACGGCGACAGACGGCGAAGATGGCGACGGCGAAAGCGACGACGACGACGACGACGGTGCAAAGACGACGACTGCGAAAACGTCGACGACGACAACGACGACGGCGGCGGCGGCGACAATCGCGCGACGACGCCGGCGACGAGTGCCGCGACGACGGGCCGGTAGACATTTATGAACGTGGCCTGGCAAAATTATGAACGCCTTGCAGGCGGCAAAAAGGGATGGGGTCTCGAACCTCCTAACAGAACAATTGACACGCGTGCTGACACTTGCACGAGGGAGCAGCGAGGGACGGGAGGGACCGGGGGAGCGACTGGTAAAGGGCTCCAGGTCACCACGAGCCACGAAACTAAATGGCTTCGCCAGGGACAGGGCGATAAGCAGGGGGGACCCACCAGGGAGGCCAGGGGAGGGGCCAGGGGGAGAGGGGCGGACGACGAACCACAAGCGTCTCCGGGGGTGCCATACGGGTCTCTTGGAGCCTCCGTCCGGATGTCAAGCACGAACCGTCCATTTCCGCTCTTGCCGCAAGAACGGACAAAACGTATCTCTGTACGCGCGAGGTGGGTGTGACTCGCATCTAGCAGCCCGTCTTGGACACGCGCCGACCTGGACACAATTTCGGCATCCTAGGCACCCGGTAGGTCGCTAGGTCGCTGAGCTCTGCAGCCGCTGCGTCCTGCACCTGCAGCTCGGTGGAGTATGCCACGGGTGGCCAGTGCTGGCCGCCAGGGGATGCCTCCCGGATCCTCCGCAGCTGCTGGCGGAACTGCCGCCTGGCCGCCCGGTAGACGCGCATGTCGCGCCCGCTGAACCGCGCGATCATCCGCCGCGCGAACGGCTGCAGCTTGCCGCGCACGTCCGCAGAGCCCTCGCTCACGCGCCCCCGGACGGCCTCCTCAGGCCCAGCCTCGCTGGCACGCGTGCGGACCTCGTGGATCCACGGGAAGTGCCAGCCGAGCACCTCTCGGTACCCCTGGAAGTCCTCCGCCTGGAGGGCGACGACGCAGCGCCGCATGCGCCAGATCGCCAGCCTGGTCGGGAGCGGCCAAATCGGGGGGTGTCCTAGAAGAGGGGGTGCAACTCATGACCGGCGGCATGTGCGCGGCCCAGCGGGGGGGCCAGGGGCGCCATGAAATCTGGGGAAATATCATGCCCCCCGCCATGATATCCACCCCCCCCTGGTCATTACCCCCCTCTTTTCCGCCCCCGACCTGGGGTCCCCCCGCTCCGGATCCAGCATCCACGCCAGCCGGTTCTGCGGGCCGCCCATGTAGCGGAAGTAAAGCCGCTCGCGCGCCGCCCCGCGCCGCAGCCTCCGCAGGGGCGACTGCGCAGCGCCCGGGGGCGGCGCCCGGGTGCGCAGCGGGTCCAGACAGAGCAGGTTCTCGCTGTTGCAGAGGGTGCCCGTCTCCTTCCCGGTGAAGCTCAGCCTGCTCCGGGCCACAGACCTGAGGTACTGCCTCAGCTCCGACGAAGTCCACTCGTGGATGCTCCGGTTCCCCGCCACCGTCCGCTCGAATCGGCGGTCGCTCCTCTCCTGGGAAGACCAAAGGGTACCGATACCGCTACTCCCCGGACCTCTCCTGGGGTGCGTTCTGACTAGAATTTCGAGGCGAATCCAACGGTGGCAACGAGGGTTTCCCATGAGGCACAAAAATTGGAAAACGAGGAAAAGCTAGAGGTATGGGTATCTTTTCCTCCTCTGATCTCCATGTAGTAGGACACGAAGCGGTCGACTGGGTGGCGAACCAGCAGCAAGCACCGCACCGCCCTGCGGGCGCGGCAGTCGATCCCCTCGTGCATGGCCCGCCAGTCCAGCTGCCCCGCCACCACCTCGAGCTCCCTCCGACCCTCCAGCGAGAACGTCTTCAGAAAGAAGGGCGTGCCCACGGCCACCGGGTGCCCAGGGGTGGTGAACATGAAGGAGGAGCGCAGCTTCCCCAGCCTCTGCACTGAGTGCTTCAGCCAGGTCATGAAGGAGGTGCCTCCGCACTTCTCGTCCCACAGGAACACGAAGGGCTCCAGCGCGCTCGGCCTCTCCTTGGCGGCGCGCAGGAGGGGCAAGCCGACGGGGCGGCCCATGCACGCAGGGGTCTCCTTAACTAGAAGCCGTCCTGCCTTCCGGGGAGCTTCCCTAAACCATCCGATCCCTTCAAGAAGCACCCTGTCCTCGTACGAATTAGACGGCAAGGCCGCCCGAACCGACAGCAGAACCGACAGTTTTTTTTCCGCAGCAAGCGCGGGACAAAGCATGAACGCCGCATGAGAATGAGAAGCTCAAAGGCCAGCTCCGCACAAACGGAGCCAACACACCAGAGAAAGGCAAAGCAGAGCTACAGCGTCTACGCCGGCCAACTTCGGACTACCAGAAGCGAGGAGGGGGAGGGAGAGGAGGAAGGAAGGACCAGGAGGAAAAGGGAAGAGGGGAGGAGGAGCGATCCAAAGCTCCAGGAGCAGCGTTCGGGCCAACCTGACATAGGTGAGCCGTTGCGCGCAACTGGAGAATCACCACGCTGGTACAACTGCATGGTCACAATACCATGTGTGACCAAGTTCTGAAAGCGCCCACGCCAGCAGAACCTGCAGAGAGGAGGGGAGGAGGAAGAGGAGGAGGACCGGGGAAGACCCACGAGCAAAGATGCGGAATCCCTCAATCCACGCCCTTAGGCAGTGGAGGGGGCGGACTGCTAGCAAAACTAGCCCAATGAAACAATATGGAGCATTACGTGCAAAGAGAGGAAGGGGAGAGGAAACACAAGAAAAGAAGCGGCAAGAGGCGGCGGCGGCAAGAGGGGAGAGGAGGGCAGCAGACAGGGGCGCGAACAGCCAGCCCTCCGCGGGCGCCAACTTCAGCACTCGGGGAGAAGAGGCGAAGAGAGAGGAGGAGGCAGAAACCTGGCCGATCCCAGCAGGATCAGCCAGCGTTCCGCCTCGGGGAAGCGAGAGCGGGAGGAAAAAGGCGAGGGGAAGGGAGCTCCGCCCTTACCGCTGTCTACTGCCAGCCACTGCTGCCCAAGCCCAGGGTGCATTCCGTGGCACCCAGAGCGGCCAGAGCAGGCGGACAGATCGTGCCCCCCCCCATCGAGAGCTCGAGGGCGGAAGCCGTGACAACACAGATGCGAGACATATGAGGGAAGCTGCCCTGCTGCCGCGCGCGAGTGCACCACTGGATTTCCTCAACGACGCGGCAAGACGCGAACACTACAATGTTCATGCTCATGACGTCCCACAGCTAGCGTCAGTGTCTGCATCGGGGACGCTGGCCTGATAGAGGTCAAAGGGAACAACATTAAAAAAACAAACTTTTGACCTCGGCGATGGCCCCCCAGCCCGCGGATAGGCCGGCACGCCCGAACATAGATGCATGGGCCGGTATCGAACAAAACCGAAATTTGCGTGGGCAGGGCGAGCGCAAAGATGGCCAGGATTCACAACTGCCGAGTCAGAATCAATATCAACATCAGAAACAAGAAAAGCAACGCACGGAGGCGGCGACTGGCGCTGGCTACGGGCGGCCAGCCCTGGCAGCACTTAGCGCCTTCATGGCCTGGGGATGCCCGCGAGCTCCTTCGCGAGCGCGTTGAAGTAGAAGTTCGCCAAATTGTCCGCGTGCGGGGTGTCCGTGCCGCAGCGCGCACTGCGAGGCGTACGGCGCGTACAAGGCGATGGCGAGGACGTGTCGGGCGCTCGACGTAGGCCTCCCGAGTCAGATCCAGACTTGGAACTGCAGCCTGTCGCCCGGGTCTGCATCTGAAGCCGCAGTTGTCGGCATGTAAGTTTGCGAAACACCGGGCAGATGCCAGCAATGCTCAATGTTGTCCTCGCCCAGGCCGCACTGCAGAAGGCACGTGGTCGACCACCGTGTCATCGCCCATCCTCTGCACAGGGTTCGGAGCGTAGCTGCAAAGATGCGTGGCGTCGCGTTGTTGGAGAGGTCCTGGAGGACTTCCACGACTCGTTGTGCGCGGCGGCCAAGGAGCAACGGCATGGCCCAATAGCCGAGGCGACGCCAGAGATGACGATGCGCAGCCTCGGCGCGGTCCGGCGCGAGCGCCCAGTAGACTTTGCGATGCCACTGCCGCCGTGGCGCGTCGGTCTAGTCGTGGTCCTCCGGCGCATGCGCCACTTGCAACTCTGGGCCGCCCGCTGCTCGTCGCGCTCGGTCTTCTGCCCGTTCCAGCTGAAACAGAAAGCTGGAGTCGAACCGCTGGCTCCATTGGGCCGCCCGCGCATCCCGGGGCGCACTGACCCCCTGCAGTCGACGGAGGGCCCGCGCTCTCTCGGCGATGTGGAGCCCTCCCGCGGGAAGCGCATCCCGCTTGCAGACCCTGCTCTTGTCAGCGTCGATCCGCGCCCGAAAATCTGCGAACTCGCGCGTGCAACGGGCGCGACGTAGCTGTCCGAGGCCACGCGGGGCGTCAAGGCGAGGCCATGCACGAGGGCTGGGCAGAAGACAAACCTGAGCTCTGCGTTCGTGTTCCCCCCGCGAAACAGGCACCGCGCCCGACTGCGCCAGGGGGGAGACCGCCGGAAGGATGTGCGCGTTGGAAGCCGCCAGTGACAGTGTGAAGCCGCCGCCTATGGATATCCAGAGGCTCGCCCGTTCATCGTACTTCTGAAATGCCTTCGCCCGCGACTGCGCCTGCCGCTCTGGCCCGAGTAAAAGCCCGAGGTGCGTTGCCGAGAAGGAGATGCGGAAATCACTCCAGGAAGGCACGATCTCGCGCAACAGTGCGCGCCCCGGTTCCATATCCACTGGGTATAACAGAAGCCAATGAGATTTCCCGCGGCGCAGCTTCAAGCCAGAAACACGCGTGTACTCCTCAAACATTGGCTCCAAACTCTGCGCCGCCTGCGCGCCAGAGGGGTTCGCGCCAGGGCGTCGGGCAAGGCGCTGGCGAGACGTCGCAGCAAGATATCGTCGGCCACGGCGAACAGCAATGGCGACAATGGGCACCCCTGCCGGATGCCCGAGCCCATCCGGAAGCCGACAAACCTGGCCCCACCGACAGAAATCACGCAAACCATGTCGAAGTATAAGGCTTGGACGAACTGCAACAGCCAGCTCGGCCAACCCAGCGAAGCGAACAATTCGCGCATGAACTCCCTGCTGACGCTGGGGAAGGCCGCTGCGTAATCAAATAACACGGCAGAGGCGCGCCCTTCGGTCAACGCTGCAGCCTGCATGCCCTCATCCACGTTCACCAAGTTTGAAAGCATGCTGCGGCCTCCCGCGAAGCCACACTGCATGTCTGAGATTTCGGGGTCAAGGTGCTGCTCAACTTTCACTCGGGCGGCCCCTGCTTCTATCCGATTGTCGGTGTCGGTAATGCTGAGTGGGCGGGTGTTCTCCGGCGGGTAGATCGGATTGCCCGCGGTGTCCACGCGCGGCGCGAACGCCATGAGGCTCTCGTTGAAGTTCGGGCATTCGCGCTCGAGCGTCGCGAGACCTGCGGCGCCGCCCATTCCACGGAGCGCCCTGTGCAAGGCGTCGGCGGCGAGGTCCTTAACAGCGCGCCGCGCGCTGATGGGAGTGCCGTCGGGCCCAGGGGGGGAGTTCGAAGTGCGCCGAATTGCTTTGGCAATGTCGCTCCTCGTCGCCTCCCAGTCGGCCGGGCGGCGGTCGCGAGCAGCGTCCGCCTGGTCGGTCTGGCCTTCGCGGATCCAATGCTGCCTGGTGGTTGCGCGCGCAGGGCGAGCGCGAAAGTGGCGTTCCCAGCGTGCCCGCAGCGCCGCCGCCATGCCGTCTGGCTTCGCGTGCGCCGCGCCGTCGAGCCCCCTCGCAGCCAGCAAAGCCGCGCCGCGTCCAGGCGCGAGGCGCTGCAGGAGCCGCGCGTTCTTCTGACGACGCGCTGTAGCAGCAGAAGCGAAGATATTAGGTTGGTCCTGGTGGAGCTTCCCCAGTTCGCCCAGCGGGCGGTCTCTGGCCTGCTCCAGCGCGCGAACCTGCGCCATGCGATAGCTGCTCATCCCCCCGCCCAAACGCCGGCGCGGATTTTGCGCGAGGTTGCCGAGGAGGGGGCGCGCGCTGAGGCATTCGCTGACGTGGCCGACCCGTTGGCGCTCCAACGCGCGCAGAAACTTCATCGCAATCCCAGTCCTGTCCTCTGGAGATAATGGCCAACCAGCCCCGCCCAGCGAGCCCGAGGTGCATCGCTGCCTGCTTCATGTTGCGCTTCAGGAAGGGAGGCATCCCAATGTCCGACATGTGAATGTGGTCCTGTTGCAGTCGCTGGAATTCCAAGGCTACGCGAGAAGGCCACCCCCGCTGCTGGGCGACGCGCTCGGGGATGGGCCGTTGATCGCCAGGGGGGGTGCGCGCCCGCCGCCGGGAAGCAGCCGCGGCACGATGGGCAGACAGATGCGGCATCCATTCCAACGCAGCAAATTGAATTCGCGTGTCAAGTTGGTCTGCTGCGCGCTGGTTGGAGCATGCGCGATCTAATCGCGAACGTGCCCGTGCCGACGCACGCGTGAACTCCAGCTGAACAAGCTCGTGCAACTAGAACGGGTCGAGGAGCATGCGTTTCCACCGGGCCTCCTCGGATCGGTCCCGCCCCCCTGTGCTGGTGGCCGTGGTCGTGTTGCACCGGTCCTCGGGGTGGATGACCCAGTTGGAATCTCCTGCAACGAGCGTGAGCGAGACATCGGCGGGCAGCATGACATTGGCGAGCCGCCGACGAAGGGCTTCTCTGAAGCTCCGCGACGACCGCGGAAGATGGGGCAGTGGCTCGAGAAGCCGCGCGCCCTCGTCTAATACCTCGACGCCAATGGGGAAATACGCGGCGATCGCATCTAAGCTCCCCGGCGGGCCTCGGAGGCGAATTGCCGCGCGCCCTGGGGCGACCGCCTGCCGGCGCGTGCGGGGGGCATCCACAGTCTTCAAAAACTCGCTCTGCACTGTGATGGCCGCGCCTGCCGCCGCCGAGGACGCCCAGGGAGACCGCCGCGAAGTGCGTCCTTGAGGCTCCCTCCACCCGGAGTTGCCATCCAAGCTGCCGCGCGTCTCAGTCCACGCCGTGATGGGGCGCCTGGCGGCCAGCTGGCGCGCGCTGAACTTTGCGGCGTTGGCGGTCGCAGTCCCGAGCGAATAGAGCTTGTGCGTTCCATGTGGCTATCTCGCATTCTCCCAAATACGGTCCGCCCTGAACAACTCCCGCGGCGGCTGGCGGGCGCCCGGCAGCGGGTGCAGGATATTCGAATGTCTGCCGAGGTAGGTCACCGAGCGCCTGCCGCATGCGACAACGTCGATAAGAGCATGGCGGAAGATCCTGGGCTAGAGCAGCGCGTGGATTTGGCACAAGCTGGTCGCCCCTTAATAGAAGGGGGGGTGGGGGGGATAGCAGTCCGAGGATGCCGAGGGAAACCCTGTCGAGGAGGATGAAACGCGCCTTCGCGAAGAGGAGGGCGCAGATGAGCAGCGGCGTCGGCGGCGAGAGGAGCGCGGGGAAGAGCGCGAGGAGGGGGGGGGGTCCTGCAGGAGCGAGGCCACTGGCAATCGGCCCCCCTTGCGACGTCCACTGCAAAGCTGCTCCCCCCAGAACGAGCATAAATGTGAATTCTCGCCCCCGTGTCGTGGCCCCATGCCGCTTAGCGACGACCGGGGGCAAGGCCGGCGGTGGCCTGCCCCCGTCGGCTGTTTCCCGAGGCCGCCGCGGCGCCCAGCAAATCTGAGTGGGCGGTGATTGCGATGCAGTCGCTGCCTGCGCTGATGCTCTGCTCGCGCAAGGCCCGCCTCGCGGTGCCCACATCCTCGACGGCGCGTCGGCACAGGCGCGCCCTTCCAGCCGTTGCAAGAATATCGATTCAAAGCAAATTGACCCACTCGCCCCCACGAGGCGCCCGGGGCGACGCTGCCAGCGCGAGCTGGAGGCCGGCGTGCTGGGAGACATGGCCCATGATAAGGCGAAGCACCTTATCCTCCGCGCCCCCCGCTTCACCGGAGAAGCGGAGCTCGGTCACGAAAACCACTGGGTGGGCGCCGCGATGACCCACTCCATGGGGCCGCCGACTGGCTGCGAGCTGCGCCGCAGTTACCTGCGGTGTTGCCCAGGGTCGGCCTCCGTTCAACGATGCCTTCGATCGTACCTTGGTGAAGGCTGTCTCTGGGTCCGTCTGGATAAGGCTGTCCAGGATAGGCTGCCAGGTGTCAGCGGGCGCCGCGGCGAGCAGTAGCAGGCGGCCCTGCCGAAGGAAAGGAGATTGCGAGCAAAGCTGCCAGACCTAGTTCGCAGCCACAGGAGAATTCATGTCGCCGATGAGTGCCAGCGGGTCGGCGTGCAATTCGCTGCCCCCGGCGATGGTGTCCTTGGAGTTCAATGCTCGACGACGTTGCTGCGTCAATACTTTGCGCGCGAGCGACGACGCGGCAGCGGGGCGCACTGACTCCATCCGCACTCGCGGCAACGTGTGTGAACTACCTGGGCATCGGCTCGGAAGACGGCACGCGATGCTGGCAAAGTCGGGCTCGGCTAGTCGGACTAGTCGATGCGTCGCCTGTGGCATCTGGTCAGGCGGCGAGTCCACGAAGATCGACTTGGCCCCTGGGAGCTGCAGGAGTGCTGCCGGAGGGCACAACGGTGTCGGCATTGCGCGACCTCCCTGCACTCCAATAGCGAATATGGCCAAGCCCTGCAGCACATGCCTCGGGGCGCGGGCGCCGGGCAACACCGTCTCCATCGCCTGCGGGCAGGACTCCACCGCCTTCATGAGAGAGGCCTACTTACCTCCTTAAAGGGAGTGGCACCAATAATCCAAAACATGCATCACCGTATCAATGCCCAGTAAGATGGGAAGCGGCGCGATCAGTCGTAGGTAGGCAGGGGCGTCGCCGCCAGCTCCGCGGCGCATGAAAGCTGCCAGGATGCGAGAGAAGGCGTTGATTTCTGAGGGCGCCCAGAAGGTGGCAACCCTATTCCCAAGCGTGGCCCAGAACTGGACACCACCTTTCTCCAGGAGGGACGCGGCGGTGCGGGTCAAGGAAGTCGGAGTTAGCGTCGTGCCGTCATGGTCCCCGAGCAAGCTCGACCACTGAGTGCACAAGAGTTCTGCAGGCTGGTTCCGGCTGGTGGCGAGGACCTGAATCGCCCGAGCCCTCAACTCTCTCCAGAGGGGCAGCCGGGAGGAGCGCAATCGGCGCCTTTCCCGAATCTCGTCGCTCAGCTGTGCAGCACAAATGGCTGCACTCTGGCCGGAGACCTCGAAGCCCAAAGCCAGCGGCATCGAGGTCCCCCTGCGGCCACGGCGTCTTCAGCGCACGGGCGCATAGCAGGCGCGCCGTGCGTGCCTTGGCCTGGATCGCCTGGAGCGTCGGCTCGGGACCCTCCACTTCGCACAGGCCCAACCGCTGAGCCACGTGATTGCCGCCCGTGATGAAGGGGCTTCAATAATAAGGGTCTGGTGGGCGGAGGGGCAGAGCCGCCCGGACGAGGTCGAAATGGTCCATGACATCCTGCTCCACAAACGCTTTGAAGGCCTCGAACGGGATATCCCAGCCCAGACCAGGAGGAGATGAGATCTGCATGGCCGCGGTGGCCTGGGAGAGAGACGCGTGGGCGTCCTGTCCCACCTCAGCTGTCAAATGTGTCGTGGCCAGGTCCTGCGATAGGCCGGAATGCTCGCCGAAGTCGCACCCCTCCGCGTTTATCCTGACTGCCGTGGCTGTCTGCACGCCGCCGCGACCTCCACATATGCAATACGTATGACCCGTTCCACATGTGGCACATAGAGGCTCACCGCGCGTAGCGGCAGCTGTGTGCATTCCTCCGCGAAGGCGGCACACCAGATGTATCGTGGAGTGGTTCTGAATGTTGTAGTCGGCCAGACAGCCTGAGTCCTCCAGTTGCTTCCCAGCATAAACCAACCGCTGTTGTTCTGGAGGGGTTTTCTCCCTAGCCTGCACGCTGGCCTGAAGGATAGAGATGTTGGCGTCTGCCTCAGCATGGATTCGGATGGTCCGCCCAGATAGCGTCTTCGCGAAGATCTGTAAGCCTCCTGCCGAAGGTTTCCGTACCCTGGGCTGGGTGACCCAGTCGAAGGTGCTGGCGTTGGTGCTGGAGTCGTTGCCAGCGCAACCGGGATTGCCGTCGGGGCCAGCGTCGGTGCGGGCGTCGATGCTGATTGCGTTTGTGCTGGGGGCGGTGACGGGGTCGATGCTGCGGGTGGCAGTGCCGGAGTCGGGGCAGGCGTCGGTGCCAGCAACCATGCTGTTGGCGCCAACGCCGCCCGCAGCGCCATCGAAGATGACAATGTCGGAGATGATGCTGTCGTCGTGGTGGCTGGTCTCGACGCCGTGATCGTCGTGGGCGCCGTCGAAGTGCTCGTTGCCTCTGGCCCAGGCCATGTGACAGAGCATATCGACCCCTATCCCCATGCCGCTGTCTGAATAGATCTCGTTAGCTGGCGCGTCGGGAGTAGTGCCACTCACATCGCCCTCATCGATGTCCAGCGTGTCTTCGATGTCCTGGTAGACGTTGCTCTCCCGCTGGTTGCTGTCGAGGCTCTTCAGCTCTTCGCCGGTGTCCTGACCGAGGGCGTACTCGATGCTGTGGTGGCCGAGGTCGGGAGGAGGGCTTACCTCAGTCATGTCCTTCTCGTAGCTCCCGTCGCGGTCCAGCTCGGCCAAGACTTTGAGGTGCCACATCGTGTCGTGGGTCGGGACGATGTCGTGGACCCGCTCGTGGTCGTGGCGGTTGGCGCCATCTCCGTCGGCTGGCAGCCCAAGAAGCGAGGGCTGCGACGCCGCAACCATCTCGGTACCTCCGGCGAGGCACCGCCGTCCGGTCCTCGCGGCAGCTCTGGCAGAGAGTGCGGGAGAGCAGATCACGTATAGCGGGGAGAGCGGGCGGCGGCTGGGCGCGGGGACCTTGGGACCTTGAGCCAGGGACACTTGAGCCAGCAGAACCGAAAACGATCGAACCCGACAGGTGGCAGGCAACTTCAAAGGGCGCAGCCACGCAGCAACGACACAAGCAGGCCGACAGGACCGAGCCGACCGAACGCCCACCGACCGCGACGCGACCGAGACGACGGCACCACGGACACCCTCGAAGGCCACACCCCCTCGCCCCAAAACTTAGCGGCGTGTGCAGAGGGGTAGGGGTAGGGGGGGGGGGAAAGGCGCCTTAGAAAGAGGTTGCTCCTCAGGAGGCGCCAGCCCCACATCTGCACAGAAGGCCCGCGCCTTCTGAGGAGCAGCCTCCTGCTAAGACGCCTTCTCCCCCTCCCCCCTAATTCCCCCCCCCCCCCTGCGCGTGGCCGGAGGAGGAGGAGGAGGAGGAGGAGGAGGAGGAGGAGGAGGAGGAGGAGGAGGAGGAGGGAGGAGGAGGAGGAGGAGGAGGAGGAGGAGGAGGAGGAGGAGGGAGGAGGAGGAGAGGGAGAGGGAGGAGGAGGACGAGCAGGAAGAGGAGCGAGGCCCGCGGGCCGCTCTCCTGAACCCACGGCACCCCGTCCAGAGGCGAGGCCCAAGGGCCGCCAGTGGCGCCTCGCGTGTGGTGCCCCGCGGCGATGAGCGGGCCGCCCGGCGCGGCGCAGGCGGCGTCGTCCAGCGGGGGCTGCCGCAGCCTGATGGGCCTGTTTTCCACCACCACCACCACCACCATAAGTTGGAGGGGGAGGTGGAGGAGGAGGAGGGGGAGAGGAGGAGGAGGAGGAGGAGGAGGAGGAGGAGGAGGAGGAGGAGGAGGAGGAGGAGGAGGAGGAGGACCCGCTCCCCCTCCAACTTATGGTGGTGGTGGTGGTGGTGGTGGTGGTGGTGGTGGTGGTGGTGGTGGTGGAAAACAGGCCCATCAGCAGCCGGTGCACGCAGCAGCGCTGGTAGGTCCAGAAGTCGTCGAAACACGCGGGGTTCCCTGGCGCCTCGAGGGGAGCCGAAGAGGAGGAGGCCGACTTCAACGGGGGGAGAGATGAGCAAAAGGATGCGGAATCGGCGACACGTCGCCGGGGAGCCCGCGCGTTCCTGGGCAGGTTGGGGCACCCAGGCCCGATGCCTGGCGACGAACGGGAGATTGGGAGTCGATGCTGCCTCCTGCCAGCGCGCCTACCCCCCATGGGCCTCGTAGTCCAGCTTTCTTTCGGGTCATCACTCGGCTCTCTGGCGGCTGTTCGGGACGATCCTGGCACCTCTGGAACGCTCTCGGCGAGGCGCAGCTGCCGGAAATTATCCCGAGGTCGGAAAACAGCAGAGAACCGACGAACACTTCCGAAAACCTCGGACCTCAAACACCCCTCTGCCGCTGCCCCCGGAGCGCCTGCCCGCCGCCGCAGCACGCCTCCTCCGAGAGGCTCCCGGAGGCCCAGCAGAGGCCGCGGCCGTAGGGCGTCGTGAAGGTCAGCGCTGGGGCGCGCGGCCTGACCGGAGGAGGGCGAGTTGAGAGAATGTCAGCTCAAAATCGGCCCCAAGAGAATGCTTCTGAGAATGCGCCGGCCATACATCTATAGGTACGGCCCGCGCCTTCTAAGACGCAGGGGTGCTTTCAAGAAGACTTCCCCCCTCCCCCTAAGCCCGAAGCCCAAAGCCCCCTCTGCGCGTGGCCTGTCCTGGAGCCCGAGCGCATCAGCTTTTGCCGAGCCGCGTCCGGGCGTGGCGACAAGGGCCCCCCCGAAGGCCGACCACCGCTGCCTCGTCCACAAACATTTTTGGTCTGCGGGTCGAGAGCGAGCCTCTTCCGGTTAAGAGCTAGGCGGGCCGCGCAAAGCACTAATTGGGGAGACAGGGCGCGGGCGGGCGGGGCCTCAGGCGGCCGGAGGGCGCGGGGTGCAGGCGGTGCTGAAGAGCTTGCACAGGAAAAGGTACACCCTCGTCCACAAACATGCGACGCCCTGATTTTTTTCAAGACGGAGTCCCCAGAAGTCCCGACCCTTTCCCCCAGGCCTGCTTTTCCTCCCGCGTCGTTTCTTGACGCGCCCTGATCCTGGCGCGAGCCCTGCAGGGGCCGGAAATAGCGACAGAACGCCCGTCCGGATGTTTTCACGACGTGATCATGTCTGGGTCTCGCCCATCCTCTGACCTGAGGCGGTGGGTGCCCGCACCGGCCGCGAACGTCGAGAGCACGCGCCCCCAGAAGCGCCGGCTCTCCCGGCGGCAACGCGCGTTGTAGCCGCGCATGCGGGCCGACACGGCCGCGCCGTCCAGGCGGAGCGCCCGCAGCAGCAGCTCGGGCACGCTGCCGAAGCGGACCACGTGCGGCGCCCGCACGTACTCCTCGCTGGCTCGCCCGGAGGGGGAAGGCACCTCCTCCTCCTCCTCCTCCTCCTCCTCCTCCTCCTCCTCCTCCTCCTCCCCCTCCTCCCCCTGATCATCTTCCTCCCCCCCTCCCTCCCTCTTCCTCCTCCCCCTCCCCCCAGAAGGGGCTGGTCTTCTCGGAAGGCGGCGGGAGGCTTCTCGGAAGCCCTCGCGCCGTCCGAGAAGCCTTCTGGGCCGTCTGCGGCGCCACAGAGGAAGGCGTCCGCAGAAGGCGCGGGGGCTTCTGAGAAGCCCTCTGCAGAGAGAGCCTTCTGATGAGGCTGCCCCCCCCCCTGCCTCCCCCCCTGGGCGGGCCGGCCGAACTCCGTGAAGCCGAGCCAGTACTCCCGGGGCTCCAGGCGGTCCAGCTCGAACGGGGAGTAGGGGTGCGGCGCAGCGCCGCGGCGGGGGTGGACCTCGCCCCACGGTTGCCCTGCGTGGAGCACGTTCTGGAAGAAGCGGGCGAAGTACGCGAAGGCCGTGCGGTGAAGCCCGGCCCGGTCGGGCAGGAAGAGGGGCAGCTCCATGGCGTAGAGGTCGTGGAACATCACGAGGTTGAGGTCCCACGGCAGCATCACGGCGCCGCGGTGGCGCGCCATCTCCGCATAGGGCATGCCCGCCCTCTTTGGGGGAACACGAAAAGACTACTACTCCCCGGGCCGCTCCAGGGGTGCGCTCTGACCAGAATTCAAAGCGAACCTAGCGGTGGCGACGAGGGCCTCCCAGGAGGCCCAGGGAGGGCGAAAACGAGGCAAGGGCAGCGGCGTCGGTACCCTTTTCCTCCCCTCCCCTGGCCTCTGGTCCACGAACTCGAGGGGGTACTGCCGGTCGCGCAGGGCGTTGGCCGCCTGCGTGAACAGCACGTCCCGCGCCAGCCTGCCGCGGTTCACCACCAGCACCTGCCCACTTGCCTCTGCCGGGGCGTGCCGCGCGCCCACGTACAGCGCCAGCGGGCGCACGCTGGGCAGGCGCGCGCCCGTCTGCCAGTGGGCCGCCTCGGCCAGTTGGGGCTCCTCTCTGGGCACGGAGAGCAAGCGGGCCCTGGGGCTCAGTATCGTTTGACCGACCCCCCATCCCCATCCCCATCCCCGTCGAGACTACCCACCAAAGTACCCCTCCAGTCGGGGATAGTTACATCCCTCGAAGCCCGAAGGGAACGGCCTATATCATCCTCATCCAGGGGGGTAAACGATGCTCAGGAACTGGGCCCTGAACCCCGTGAGGCCTTGCCCCCAAACCAGCTCTGAGTGCTGCAAGTCGTTCTCAGGACGGCCCTGGGGCCCGAGAGGGCCCCGAGGGCCCCGAGACCTCAGGCGACACATCAGAAGCCTGCAGTTCTTCGCCCTGGGCGGGTCGTTTCCTGACTGCCCTGGGGCCCGTGGAGGGCCCCGAGGGCCCCGTGGAGCGGCGGCGAAGCACCTCAGGGCCCGCCTGCCGTCAGGACCCGCTGGCGTCGCGGCGGTCCTCCCAGACCAGCGCGCACGGAGGGCCGCCGTCCGCCGGAGGGCGCCCGACCGCCCCGCCTGGGCCCCTGCCGCCCCCGTGGGCGTCGCAGTCCAGCAGCGACTGCAGGCGCTCCCAGAAGTGCGGCAGCGGCTCGCTCCATCTTTGGGCGTGGCTTCATTGGGGGGGGGTGGTCATCCATGGCGGGGGCCAGAAACGGTCCCCTCTCGTGCCCCTTTCGGGCCCCTCCGAGGCCCCAGGGGGCTCGTGCAGGCAACGTCTGGGTACCTCTTCGGACCACCCTGGCCACGCCCCCATGTATGACCCCCCCATTACGCAACGCCCAACACCTTGAGGGGGACGGTGTTCTGGGGGAGACCGGCTCCAGTGGGAAAACATCGAGCTGGGATCGGCGATGCATCGCCGGCAGATCGGCGATAGGTCCCCGACTGCAGCTCCGCCCGTGCCCGGGCGGTTTGGGGCCATCGGGCCCCTATCGGGGATCAATGGGCGATGGGGGGTCGATGCATCCCCCGCTGAGCCCATCCCCCCATCGTTGCCCTTGACACCTGTGGTAGCTACCAACGGAAGGGTCGTTCAGGAGCAGGAAGCCGACGTAGGCGATGACGGGCTTCGAGTACAGGGCGCGCAGCTTCGCGCACTCCCCGACCCACTGGCACGTGATCACGTCGGCGGCGCGGAGGGCGCGGTTGCCGTCGAAGTTCGCCTGGCCAGCGGGCCGAAGGCGTGCTAAAGATCTCCGGTCAGAGGTTCGTAGTGCTTGTGTATAGCCACCTCGCGCGCGCGGGGCCGCCCCTGAGGGTCCCTGGACGACAAAGGCGCTGGCAAAGTCGCGTGGAGCTCCCAGGGAAACTCGGGCCAAGGATGTTTTTCCCCAACATTCCTGTGGTGTTGGGTCCTCGTTTTGAAGACACAGCGCCCCGCGTCCCTCCTCCCGCTGCCCCCTCCTCCTCCTCCTCCCTCCTCCCATCCCTGCCTCCCCCCACCCAGTACAGCGCTTCGTGGCCCCATAGGGAGCTCCACCGAAGGTCCCAGTGTCCCAGTTGCGCAGGTCGCATGCGTCTCCCCCACCCAGTACCACTGCGTGGCCCCATTGGGAGCTCACAGCGCTTCGTGAACACCCGAAGGTCCCAGTGGCGCAGTTCGCATGCGTCCCCCCCACCAAGTACAATGTTTCTTGGCACCATAGGGAGCTCCACCGAAGGTCCCAGTGGCGCAGTTCGCATGCGTCTCGCCCGCCCACTACAATGTTTCGTGGCCCCATAGGGAGCTCCACCGAAAGTCCCAGTGGCGCAGTTCGCATGCGTCTCCCCCACCCACCACAGCGCTTCGTGGCCCCATAGGGAGCTCCACCGAAGGTCCCAGTGGCGCAGTTCGAACGCGTCTCTGCAACCAAGTACAATGTTTCCCGGCACCACAGAGAGCTTCACCGAAGGTCCCAGTGGCGCAGTTCGCATGCGTCTCCCCCGCCCACTGCAGCGCTTTGTGGCCCCATAGGGAGCTCACCCGAAGGTCCCAGTGGCGCAGTTCGCCTGCGCCTCCCCCGCCCAGTACAGCGCTTCGTGGCCCCATTGGGAGCTCTACCGAAGGTCCCAGTGGCGCAGTTCGCATGAGTCTCCGCCACCCAGAACAACGTTGCGTGGCCCCATAGGGCGCTCCACCGAAAGTCCCAGTGGCGCGGTTCGCATGCGTCTCTCCCACCCTGTACAGCGCTTCGTGGCCCCATAGGGAGCTCTACCAAAGGTCCCAGTGGCGCAGTTTGCATCCGTCTTGCCCACCGAATGCACGGTTTCGCGGCCACCCGAAGGTCCCGGTGGCGCAGTTCGCATGCGTCTCCCCGAACCAGTGCGGCGCTTCGTGGCCCCAGAGAAAGCTCCACCGAAGGTCCCAAGTGGCGCAATTCGCATGCGCCTCCCCAGCCCAGCACAGCGCTGCGTGGCCCCATAAGAAATTCCACCGAAGGTCCCTGTGGCGCAGATCGCATGTGTCTCCCCCACCCAATACAAGTGTTCGTGGCCCCGTAGGGAGCTCCACCGAAGGTCCCGCTGGCGCAGTTCGCATGCGTCTCCCCCGCCCAGCACAGCGTTTCGTGGCCCCAGACGGAGCTCAACCGAAAGTCCCAGTGAAGCAGTTCGTATGCGTCTCCTCCACCCAGTACATCGCTTCGTGGCCCCATAGGGAGATCCACCGACGGCCCCAGTGGCGCAGTTCGCATGCGTCTCCCCCACCCAGTACAGCGCTTCGTGGCCCCAAAGGGAGCTCCAAAGGGAGCTCCACCGAAAGTCCCAGTGGCGCAGTTCGCATGCGTCTCCCCCACCCAGTACAACGTTGCGTGGCCCCATAGGGAACTTTGTTGAAGGCCCCAGTGGCGCAATTACCATGCGTCTTGCCCACGCAGTGTAGCGCTTCGTGGCCCCAGAGGGGGATCCACCGAAGGCCCCAGTGGCGCAGTTCGCATGCGTCCCCCCCACCCAGTACAACGTTGCGTGGCCCCATAGGGAGCTCCACCGACGGTCGCAGTGGTTCAGTTCGCGTGCGTCTCCCGCAACCAGCACAACGCTTCGTGGCCGCATAGGGAGCTACACCGAAGGTCCCAATGGCGCAATTCGCACTTGGCCCCCCCGCCAAGTACAGCGTTTCGAAGGTCCCAGCGGCAAAGTTCGCATGCGTCCCCCCCGCCAAGTACAGCGCTTCGTGGCCCCATAAGGGGGCTCCACCGAAGGCCCAGCGGCAAAGTTCGCATGCGTCCCCCCCGTCAAGTACAGCGCTTCGTGGCCCATCGGGAGCTCCACGGAAGGCGACATCCACAACTGCGGTACTCACAACTGCAGATGGTTGGGTTCTTGTCCAAGCTGATTCTCCTGGGCGCGGCCCTCAGGACCCCCAAGACAGCACGAGGACCGCCCAAATGGAGCTCCAAGAGAGCCCAAGATCGTCCCAGGAACGGGAATCAATGGGTGGCAGGAATTGGCGGCGCGCACAAGGGGGTGGGGGGAGGGGGGGGGGGGCTTCTTAGAGGAGGTGCTTCTTAGAAGGCGCCGGCCTTAACATCTATAGTCCCGAGAAGGCCCGCGCCTTCTAAGAAGCAGGCCCGGTGGGTGCTTCCTAAGAAGCACCGCCCCCCACCCCCCACCCCCCTCTGCGCGTGGCTGAAGGAACCAAGATGTGCCGAGGTGGTTCAAGATGGTCCCAGCAGCCTCCCGGAGGCCCCCAGGAGGCCACCGTGAGCCCCCAGAACCCTCTGACTCATCCCTGGCGAGCACCTGTCTTCCCAGATACTTCCACGAATCACCCAGGATCTTTCCCTGTCCATGCAGATGTTTGCTCCTTCAAAGAATTGAGCGCTCCTTTTCGCGCGCACTTGTATGACCCCTCATTGCTCTACCCTCTCACCCATGGCACTTCCCAATCCGTACTGCCAGCAGTGATACCATATGGGCCGGCAGAATGAGCGAAGCAATGACATAAAACTGATTCAGCAAGACGCTCTCGTTGGCAAACACCTCTTCACCCAGCTGCCGTACGCAATCCTCGTTGCTCTTGTACGACACCAGCTGGCTCGATATCCGACCAGGAAAGAGAGCCCGCAGCGTGAATGCTGGCTCCTCGTAGGCGGATTATATATATATATATAGATAGGTATATACGCATACCTACATACACATATAGTTACATCTGCACATACAATCATACATACATACATGCATGCATTCATCCATACATACAGACAGACAGACAGGCAGACATGCACACATACATACATACATACAGACAGACAGACAGACCGACAGACAGACAGTCATACGTGCCGACATACACACATAGATACATGCATGCATACACATACATACGTACCTGCCTAAATACATACCCGCTGGTCTGCATACACACTTATACATGCAAACACGCATCCATGCATACATACATACACATATACATACGTAGATACGTACATACGTGCGAACAAACACACACAAGCAAACACACACACACACACATGTATACGTACATGCATGCATACATACACGCATACGCACATACATGCACATACAACCATACATACACACGTGCATGCATGCATGCATGCATACATGCGTACGTACATACATGTATGCATGCATGCGTACACATAGACATACATACATCCATATGTACACACATACTAGAACCACCCGCGCGCTGCGCGCACGCTTAGGTTATACTCGCCTCTGAAGACGCTGTGAGTGCGCCTCGCGTGAAATCCATTGTGCCAGGGGAGAGGCCCCTGCGCATGCATCACCTTTCGCTCAAGGGGTGCCAGGTCTTTGAGAAAAACCTCTAGGTTCAGGGCGGTCGCGGGGCTGTTTGAGAATCGCGAGCTTCGACGAAAGATGGAAGGAACGGCGCGAAGATTGGGGCGAGACGGGCTCTTGGAAGCATCTTCGGATCTCTTGGGGGCTTTATGGGGGTCTCTGAAGGTTGGTGGCCTCTCGGCAGACTTTCGGATGCGACTTGGAATCCCCTGAAGGGCTCTTGGGGGCGACCTGGAGACCCCAGAAGCCCATCGATGGCGAAGAAACCAGAAATAACAAACCGTCGTGTTGCGTACGTTTTTTTTTCATAGATGTCAGACTCCTGGGGGTGCCAAAGATGCTTTTTGGGAGCCTCTTGGAGGCTCGTGGGGCATTCGGTGCGCTCTTGGGGCGTGTTGGGCTATGTTGGGCTGTCTGAGGCTGCCTGGGGCCATCTGGGGCCAAGATTCGAGGCTCTCCGTAAGGCATGTCCAGGAATCTCCGGGGCCGCGACCAGCTGTTCAAACTCCCCATGCGAACCCGTCGTTCCGGTCCGAAGCCGCACCCCCCCGCGTACTCGATCCGTACATCCATACATGCAAGCGCGCATTTACATACATGCATCCATGTATCCACGCACATGCACTCATATATACATTCGTACACACTATACATACCGACGAACATAAGCACATACATA